GTTGTAAGAAATATTTATGAACAATAAGTCACTGTATTAACTGCGTCACGCTTCATATTTACTGTGTCCTCCTTTCCTTTTAGGTGGCAATTATAGAGGAACTGGTGGTCGGCTATGAAACCTCATTAAAAAGCTGCCGAATGTTCAACCAGAACGGTGAGAGAAACATTTCAGCATCCTAACAAACCAGACGGAGTTAAACCAGCTGTAAGTTTTTGTGTAGCCGTTGCAGTCGTTTGGTTCCAACCCTAACGAGCGTCTGCTTCTGCTGTTCCAGATGACGGTAAGGAGGAGCCACCAACCACATTGCTCTGGGTGCAGTACTTCCTGGCGCAGCACTATGACATGATCGGCCAGCAGACGCTGGCTCTAGAATATATCAACGCGGCCATCGAGAGCACGCCCACGCTCATCGAGCTCTTCCTCATCAAAGCCAAGATTTACAAGGTGGCGCGCGTGTCCGATTCGTATGATTGTTTACTATTTTAGACGCGTAGTTCTGCTGCGGCAGTGTTCTCGACTGACCTTTTTTTGCTCCCGCAGCATGCTGGCAACATCAAAGAGGCTGCCCAGTGGATGGATGAGGCCCAGGCTCTGGACACCGCTGACAGATTCATCAACTCCAAGTGTGCCAAGTACATGCTGAAGGCGACCATGATCAAAGAGGCCGAGGAAATGTGCTCCAAGTTCACCCGGGTGAGAGAAATTGTGCAGAGTGACAGCTGACCAACCGATGAGGGCTTTTAAAAATGTCAAAACAAAATGCTGGCAAATGATGACGAGAACAATCAGTACTCATCATAATGAGCACTTTCTATCTTTAGATCTCTGATAGAGTGATGGAGAGAGAGATTCCCACTTTTTGTACAAGCTCTAGTGATTAATGACAAAGTAATTGACTGTGATCAATCGCAGCGGCCTATTTCCCAACATTGTTTTAAAGTGGAGGGTGAGCCATACACAAAAACATCTCCATAGTCAAGCACACGCAGAATTGTGGAGTTTAAAATAATCCCACATTAGCAGGATTTTAGCTATTCTAATGTTCTTGACCAGTTAACTCGATAACCCTCTTTAAAGTATCTCTGGTTAGCATTTATAAGACTCAAGAAGGGTTTTAACCCTTTAAGACCTACCATAGAACCAAGTCTGCCAGAGCTTATATTATATTTTTACATGCTGT